ATGGTCTCTCCACACTGGGAAGTCCACCATCCATAGTGGAGCTCATTGTCTTTTCTCCAGACAATCTCCTGGGATGTCCTCATCTTCCATTTTTACAACCTGGAGATAAAGTGAGACGATCCTTTGAGGGTTTCTCCATGGCGGGTCCTGGAAAAATAGAAAAACATCATCAATAGATAGGAGAGGGTTAGTTCACTTCCATCAAGATTCCATCAGGGATCAGGGAGATAGGAGGGAGCAGATGTTCTCTGTGGATGTCCCAACCAGCTGGGACTCCTCCCCTCTTCAAAGGGCCTTTGGTCCTCCCAGATCACTTCTACATTTACACCGCCTTGTCAGAGGAGCAGGAACCAATGGGGGCTGGGAGGGGGGGGGCGGTAACAGAGCAGAGATAAGAGAAGAATATATTCTGGTCACCTGTGCTGATCTCTGTAGGAGTGTCCTCCTCTATGAATGTCCTCCTCATTCCAGCCTCCTTCGTATATTGCTGATCATCCCTCACATACGTCTCTTCTACTTCACCCTCAACTTTCATGTTCATCAGATCTTCACCCTAAACCAACAGAATGGCAGAAAATAACATCTGTAACATAGAAGGATTTATGATGTGAGATCACATAGAACATCTCATCTTGTAGAGTCCACACATCGTCTCCACATGTCAGAGGGTTCCATCACTTTATGTTCCCGACCCTCAACTCCACCGACCTGATGATGGTGAGGGATGGTGTGACCTTCCTGTGTGGAATCCCGGGAATACAGAGGACAGGGACATCTCTCTGGTGGGTTCCCATGACTGCATCCATCTGTAGGAAACACACACACTGACTGAATCCATTGTTTCTATGTGTTTATCAGATGATGGGGGATCTAGGTGGATCCTCCGTACTGCTCTCTCCTTTCCAATAAAGTCTCCTCTTACCCGGTGATGTGAGGGGCGGCTGATTGTCCATCATGATGTCCTTGTAGAGGTCCTTGTGTCCTTCTAAATACTCCCACTCCTCCATGGAGAAATAGACAGTGACACCCTGACACCTTATAGGAACCTGACACACACAATGATACAGTCACCATCCAGACACATCCCTTGTCTGTTACTGGAGAATATCCCAGAATTCCCGCACCGCTCACCTCTCCTGTCAGCAGCTCCATCATCTTCCTGGTGACTTCTAGAATCTTCTGCATGTTGTGTCTCTCAGGGTTTAGGGAGTCACATGGAGGCACTGTGATGGTCATATAATCACCTGACTTCAGAAGAGGAAATCTCTGTATTAGAGAACCAATAGGAATATCATGTTAGACTCCCAGAATCCTCCTCACCTCTCCGGTCAGGTCTGTGTGATGTCATGTGACCTCCCAGAATCCTCCTCACCTCTCCGGTCAGGTCTGTGTTTTATTAATAGAGATGAGAGTGATGTCCTGTGACCTCCCAGAATCCTCCTCACCTCTCCGGTCAGGTCTGTGTGATGTCATGTGACCTCCCAGAATCCTCCTCACCTCTCCGGTCAGGTCTGTGTTTTATTAATAGAGATGAGTGATGTCATGTGACCTCCCAGAATCCTCCTCACCTCTCCGGTCAGCAGGTAGATGATCTCCAGGGTGAGGTTTAGTATCCTCTCAGTCATGTGACTCCGGTCCTCCTCCATCCTCATTCGTGTCGTCATTTTATCTTTCTTATAGAGAGATAATTTTGATAAACTGAAGTAAGAATTATTTGGAGTTTCCTGTAAATATAAGATCGGATCTTATTACCTCCTCCGCTGCCACTTCCAGCAATGTCTCCTCTCTACTTCCTCCCAACTCACCCAGAACTTCTGATCTGTCCCTGACATCACTTCCTGTCTGTAGCTGACATCACTTGCTGTCCACCATAGAGACTTCCTGTCTGGGTAGAAGTGAGATCCCCACCTTGTGGAATTCAGAGGAACTGCAGCCCTGAGGACCGTCTGGTAGAGTGACCCCGGCCTTGTGCTGGGTGTGTATGACGGTAGGGGGTGGAACAAGGGACAGTGCTCAGAGGTGGGTAGGGAGGGAACCAAGGGATGGTGCTTGGAGGTGGGTAGGGGGCGGAGACAAGGGACGGTGCTCGGAGGTGGGTAGGGGGCGGAGACAAGGGGTGCTTCAGAAAGGGGGAGTGCCTTCACCTTGTTCTTCGAGAAAACAAAGGCCCCGGCTTAGCGCCATCTAATGGCCAAATGCTGTTCCCTTCAGTTGTAAATCGATGGTCGGTGTCATTATATTAGGGCGTGTTCTTCGATGTCTCCCGTATGCAGGAGCATGATCTAAGGTATTTCCATGGAACTGTGTCTGACAAAGGAAGCGAGGAATTCCACTCCCAGGAAGTTGTTGGAGGAGTGCGAGGATTCGTCCAGCCGATGAAAATTCTGTCCACATTCCAGGAACGATTTCCCATGATCCTCAGCGCCACCTACAGACCAGAACACGGTATTGTTCCTGTAATCTCTCCGCAATACCTCATTATGGCCACTAAATGGAGCCAATGAGCAAAGGAAATCACTGGATGGAATAAGATAGGACCAATCATCATCGTGCTGCCAATGTTCATCACATTCGCTCGACTCAGTTTTTTTTTTTTTTAAACTGATCAATAAGCATTACGCCACAAGATAGAATCAGCCAATGACTCGGGGGGGTTCTAGTTCAAAAAGCTTTATTGAAAGAACACAACGGTGTACAGGCAAGAATCACAACACGTCCAGATACAAAGAGTGCAAAATAATAGGCCAAGTACGAACAATACGGGGAAATAAATACAATGAAAAAATAAATAAAATGAAAAATATGGAAAAAAAAAATAAAAAATATGGAAAAAATGAATGAGTAAAAAAATAATAAAATAATGAAAAATATGGGTGTGACGGGAGTGACTTTTGGAGGTGGGGAGACCCCTGTCTCAGCTCCCCATATCCCTCTTATGTGTAAGTCACCCTGTGCCTCTTAGGGGTACAGGGTGGAATGTTCTAATATTGGGGTGTGGGGGTTGGTCATTGTTCACTGCCTCATGGTGCATCCCATTGTTCTATTGTGTGTCTTGGTTGTGAGCAAACTATTATGGGATGTAATGTTTCCAGCAGCCCTTCCCCCTGATGGGACGTCTTGCTGATGTGTTTCCTGTCTGGGTGTATTTCCCCGCCCTGTGTATATATCTTGTCTCTGTGTTAAAATAAAGCAGTCCATTTCCTGTCTTTCATAGAGTCTGGTGCTGTCTCATCTTGTATGGTCAGCGGTGGTGTCCGTGGTCGGTGTTTGGACAGGAAAGCCGGAGTTTAATGAAAATACCCTAGTGCAGTCTGGGTCTGTGTAAAATATCGTATTGTCTCGATATTTTCTTAACTTGTATTGATGAGAAATGTTCAGATAGAAAGTCCTTCCACTTCTTGTATAAACTCAAAAAGATGATTTAATAATAACGTTGCATAAAATTAGAAATAAAATATTGGCATACAGAATGTTTAAATAATGTCCAAAAAAATATAGTTAAGTTCTTGATAATAAGATCGTATATATGTATATGTGTGTGTATGTGTGTGTGTATGTCTGTCTGTCGCATCAAGGCTGCTATAGAGTGAGACAAACTCAAACCTTTGTCCTGCTCTAGAAAGAGCAATCCAGCCCCCACCTTTCCTAAAAATGGGCTGGTATACTTGTAGTCCCACAAAGATAATTGGAAACAGATGTGTATATATAACAAACCTCCAGTCTACTTCTCCTAAAGTCTGAGCGTAACCTAAGAAGGCCTAGACATTCCATCAATCAGAATACATTAGATGTAAACATACATATATATATAATAATTCTCCCTAAAAGTAATCCTACTAAGAGTTATCTCGTATATAAATATCGTAATCAAGAAATATTACAGTATAAACCTTGTAAACCGAACAATTCACTAGTTAGTGAAACATATAATCTCTTACATAGATGGGGGAGGAAAGGTATAGCTAATTGCTCTCATATGTGGCTTGAATGTAAAGGAAAAACCCAAGATATATGTTCATATGTATATTCACAGACTATGAAGTCTAATTCCTTACTTTTCCCAATCTAGAACAAATATAAATATAATAACTCAATTATTCTATTAAGATCCAACTCATTCATACTTATGTTAGTACTGTTAATAAAAGATATTAGATATTAGGTTAAGGAAAGCTTCTAACAGTCTGGTTCCGTTACAATGGGGATTTTTTTTAAATAACAAAATTATGAAAAATAATAAAATTATGAGGATTGTGAAAAATTATAATAAAATTATGAAAAATGTGGAAAACATACAACAAAATAATAATAAAATCATGAACAATACGTGGAAAAAAAATTTAAAAAGTATTAAGATTATGAAAAATTTAAAAAATAATAAAATTATGAGAAATGTAAAAAATAGTAAAATTATGAAAAATATGGAAACCATACAAAAATATTAAGATTATGAAAAATATGGGTAAAAAATGTGAAAAAATAATATAATTATGAAAAAATGTAAAAAAAAAAATAAAATTGTGAAAAATATGGAGAATTTTTTCAAAAAAAAATAAAATTATGAAAAAAAAAAATAATATGAAAAACTAAAATGATGAAAAATATGGAAAAAGAAAAGGAGTTAAAGTAAAGAACACAGATAATAGGAAAGGGAGAGAAAAGAAAAGATGGGGAACAATTGGGGGAGGGGGAGTTTGGAGTCTCCCCTAAGCCAAGTAGTGCATGTCAGCCTGACACTGCTATCAATGGCAAACCGGGTCCCACACTTCATCCATGTCTTTGGGGACCTCTGACCTCCTTATGAACTGTTTCTTCCATGATGAAGATCAGCCATGGAGTATATCTGAGGTGTATATCAGGGGGTGCTTCTTCCCCACATGAGAGCTGGGATGTCCAGCACTAATACACCTCCAGGGTTGCGTGGGACCCCTGATGTACAGGAAGACAGGACTTCAGTGAGGAACATTTCCCTCACTCAGGACAGGGAAGTGGCTTCCCACCCGTATGAGACCTCTGATGTCTGGAAACGTAGGACTTATCTGAAAAACATTTCCCACACTCAGGACAGGAATACGGCTTCTCCCCCGTGTGAGATCTCTGATGTCTCCAAAGACTGGACTTATCTGAAAAGCATTTCCCGCACTCAGGACAGGAATACGGCTTCTCCCCCGTGTGAGATTTCTGATGTTTGTTAAGACTGGACTTTTGTGAAAAACATTTCCCGCACTCAGGACAGGAATACGGCTTGTCCCCCGTGTGAGATCTCTGATGTCTGAGAAGATCCGACTTTTGTAAAAAGCATTTCCCGCACTCAGGACAAGAGTATGGCTTCTCCCCCCGTGTGAGATCTCTGATGTATGTAAAGACTGTATTTGTTTGATAAACATTTCCCGCACTCAGCACAAGAACACAGTTTCTCCCCTGTGTGCAGTCTCTGATGTGTGTAAAGAATGTACTTGTCTGAAAAACATTTCCCACACTCTGGACAGTTATATGGCTTCTTTGTGTGCAGTCTCTGATGTCTGTAAAGATGGGACTTCCGTAAAAAACATCTCCCGCACTCAGGACAGGAATACGGCTTCTCACCCCTGTGAGATTTTTTATGCTCATACAGATTGGTTTTCAAACGGAAACATTTTCCACACTCAGAACAAGGATATGGCTTTTCTCCCATGTGAAATCGTTGATGCTCAACAAGATTTTTTTTTCTGTGCAAAACATTTCCCACACTCTGTGCAGGAATACGGCTTCTCCCCAGTGTGTGATCTCTGATGTTTGTAAAGACTGGACTTGTCTGAAAAACATTTCCCGCACTCAAGACAGGAATACGGCTTCTCCCCCGTGTGAGATCTCTGATGTATGTAAAGAGTAGACTTCTGTGTAAAACATTTCCCGCACTCAGGACAGGAAAATGGCTTTGCACCCGTGTGAGATGTCTGATGTCTGCGAAGAATGGACTTATCTGAAAAACATTTACTGCACTCAGGACAGGAATACGGCTTCTCCCCCGTGTGAGACCTCTGATGGGTGTAGAGACTGAACATCTGTGAAAAACATTTCCCGCACTCAGAACAGGAATACGGCTTCTCCCCCGTGTGAGATCTCTGATGTTTGTAAAGATTGGGGACTTCACTGAAAAACATTTCCCGCACTCAGGGCAGGAATGTGGCTTCTCCCCCCTGTGGGATATTTTATGCAAATAAAGACCAGATTTAAAACTGAAACATTTCCCACACTCAGAACAGGAATATGGCTTTATCCCCGTGTGCAATCTTTGATGTTTGTAAAGACAGGACTTGTCTGAAAACAATTTCCCGCACTCAGAGCAGGAATACGGCTTCTCCCCCGTGTGACTTCTTATATGCACACGAACACTGGATTTAAAACGGAAACATTTCCCGCACTCAGGACAGCAATACGGCTCCTCACCTGTGTGAGATCTTTGATGCTCAGTAAGAGTGTATTTAAAACGGAAACATTTCCTGCACTCAGAACAGGAAAACGGCTTCTCCCGCTTGTGCAGTTTCTGATGATTGTAAAGATTGGACTTCTGTGAAAAACATTTCCCGCACTCAGGGCAGGAATACGGCGTCTCCCCCGTGTGAGTCCTCTGATGTTTAGTAAAAAATACTTTACGTAGAAAACATTTCCCGCACTCAGGGCAGGAATACGGCTTCTCACCTGTATGAGTTCTTTTATGCACATGAAGACTGGATTTATAAGGGAAACATTTTCCGCACTCAGGACAGGAAAACGGTTTCTCCCCCGTGTGAGATCTCTGATGTGTGGAAAGATTGAACTTCTTTGAAAAACATTTCCCGCACACAGTACAGGAGAACCTCTTCCCTGTTGGAAGGCCAGCCCGGTTAGGCACAGTCTGAGGTTCCTCAGGATATGAGGAATCCGATGGCCCATCTACACTGGGTGGTGCCGGATGGACATTGGAGGGAGCCGGGTTTTCTCCTGGACTATACTGTGTGATGTCCTCATCTTCTACTTTCCAGTCTGGAGACAAAGTGAGACAATCCTCTGAGGTTTTCCTCATCTCCCGGCCATGGACTAAAATACAAAGACAAAGAGGATTACTAGACAGGAGCCCCACCAGAGATCAGAGAGTGAGGATGGGGGGGGGGACAACAACCAAGAGGAAGACTGGACTCATCCTGAAGACCATCATCATTGGGGTATTGGTTCCTCCCCCATCCTAAACACCACCATCATTGGGGTATTGGTTCCTCTCTCCCATCCTGGAGACCACCATCATTGAATTACTGACTCCTCCCCATCCTGACCTTGAAGACCACCATCATTGGGGTATTGGCTCCTCCTCCATCCTAAACACCACCATCATTGGGGTATTGGTTCCTCCCCCATCCTGAAGATCACCATCATTAGGGTATTGGTTCCTCCACCATCATTGGGGTATTGGCTTCTCCCCCATCCTGACCCTGAAGACCACCATCATTGGGTTATTGACTCCTCCCCATCCTGACCCTGAAGACCACCATCATTGGGGTATTGGCTCCTCCCCTATCCTGACCCTGAAGACCACCATCATTGGGTTATTGACTCCTCCCCATCCTGACCCTGAAGACCACCATCATTGGGGTATTGGCTCCTCCCCCATCCTGAAGACCACCATCATTGGGGTTTTGGCTCCATTATTGGCATACTGGCTCTCTCCCATTCTGAAGACCACCGTCATTGTGGTATTGGCTCCTCCCCCTTTCTGAAGACTACCATCATTGGGGTATTGGCTCCTCCCCCATCCTAAAGACCACCATCATTGGGGTATTGGCTCCTCCCCATTATCACTTTCTGGTTGGAGGATGTGATCACATTATTATCACCATTATTAACAGCCTGTGCTCCAATCACATCATCCGATATAAAATGTGTTTTTTTTCAGTCATTTTTCATTTATATATAACCCCAGCCCCCCATCCCCACCCCCCCGTGGTGATCAAATACCGCCATAAAAAGCTCTATTTGTGTAGAATATAAAAAATTATATAAATGTCATTCTGGGTATGGCGACAGCCAACCTCGGGGGCTTGTGGGGGGGACTGCAGGCTAGCCTCTTGCCTACTGACCATGGGCCCTGGCATTAGAAGGGGGGGGGGTTCTAATCTTGGGGAGGTGTGTGCCTGGGGGGGGGGACCTTTTGGAGTAGTTTTACTTCAGATTCAAGGCCATTTCTCCCCGAAACACACGGACTCTGAGAACTGGAGGACCAGGGGACAGACTTGGGGTCTCTGTGCCCAAACCAGCTTTGACTGCTTCAACCCCTCCCCTCTCTTGGACTCAGAGACTCTAAGAAGATGTTCATATAATCAGCACAAAACAGCCCGATGCTGAGGATGGCTAGAAGTCCCATTGGTAATGGAGTCACCTATTGGTTCTGTCTGTTGGCTGGTCCTCCTGGAGGTTCCTACATAATGGGATTAGTCTGGTGTCAGATCAATGTGAGATGTTTATCCCAAAATGTAATATTTGTTTTTATTGTTCATGTGGGGACTGCCCCTATTTCTGAAGTGTAGAAAAACCTGTATTTCTGTTCAATAAAGAAGTTCCAGTTTGCACCCGAGCTATTGTCGCCTAGTCCGTGAGTGCAATGCCCAGCTACAGGCCTGCTGTTGGCCATGGGGCTCCATACAACCAACATGACAGCCCCCCCCCCCCCCCCAAAAAAAAAAAAAAAACCCACAGCTTGCTATGCTTAAGTTATCCATGAATCACTCATTGTGTTCAGATGTTTATCCCAACGTGTAATATTTGTTTTATTGTTTATGTGGGGACTGCCCCTCTTTCTGAAGTGTAGAAAAACCTACGTTTCTGTTCCAGGTTGCACCCGAGCTGTTGTCACCTAGTCCTTGAGTGCAGGGCAGGTATTAAGAGACCATGGGGCCCCATACAGCAAACTTGACAGCACCCCTCCCCTCAAAAAAAACCCCCAGTTTGCTATGCTTCAGCTATGAATGAACACAGTGAGCGATCGGTACTGGTCACTCATTATGTTCATTCAGGAAAGGAAGGGACTGGTCAATGTGACATATTTACCGGACCCTTCCCCCGCTCTCCATCCTGAAGGATCCTATTATGTGATTGTAGCTCCCGGTGGGAAGGAGAGGAGGGAAGCCGGCAGCACTGCGGGGGGAGGGGGGGCACACGGGGGGAAACATATGATTCACAGGGAGGGTGATGGGTGCGGTGGGGGGGCACATGGGGGTAAACGTATGATTCACAGGGAGGGTGATGGGTGCGGCGGGGGGGCAATTACTGGAACCGATCCCCTGGATCAGAGGTATCAAACTGGTGGTCCTCCAGCTGTTGCGCAACTACAAGTCCCATCATGCCTCTGCCTTTGGGAGTCATGCTTGTAACTGTCAGTCTTGCAATGCCTTGTAGTTTGGCCACAGCTGGAGGGCTGCCAGTGACATCCGTGTTCTATATGCTTCCCTCTCCAGCGGGAGGGAGAGGGGGAGAAGGAGGAGAAGCCTTCAGCTGCTGCAGGGAGAGCCAAACAGGGGATCGGTTCTAGTAATTACCCCCCCCCCCCCCCCCGCCATGCCAATCACTCTCCCTGCCCACATCCAATTCACCAAGCTAGCCTGGGCCCCGTACAGGAGGACTGGTGGGGCCCCCTTATCCCTGGCCCCGCCCAGCTATTATACCTTGTTCATGTATCCCAGTTCTCCGGCAGAGGCACTCAAGCTGGGTGCCAGGTGGTCCGTCACAGGGACAGTGTTGCATGACAGAGCAATTGGGGGGGCAGGGAAGGAGACACACCAAGTCCAACCCCTCCACACAATTCCAAATGTCCCCAATATGAAAGGTTCTCCCAGGGCTCCAGGGGGGCCAATGTTACCGTACTGGAACACACCAGACCCCCCCTTATCATGTGCAATAGGGGTCTTCAGAGAGAAGGGCCACAATAACGTCTTATCTTACCCAGTGATGTGAGGGGCGGCTGATTGTCCATCATGACGTCCTTGTAGAGGTCCTTGTGTCCTTCTATATACTCCCACTCCTCCATGGAGAAATAGACAGTGACACCCTGACACCTTATAGGAACCTGACACACACAATGATACAGTCACCATCCAGACACATCCCTTGTCTGTTACTGGAGAATGTCCCAGAATTCCCGGCACCGCTCACCTCTCCTGTCAGCAGATGGACCATCATGGTGGTCAGTTCCAGGATCTTCTGCTCTTTGTTCCTCTCAGGTATCGGAGAATGAGGGGGAGGCACCATGGTGGGGCTCTGGGTCCTGCTCCATCCTCCTGAGATTGGCTTCCCACTAGACTTCTTCACTACAACATAATCCTACAGATCAGGAGAAAGAGAAACCGATATCAATCATCTGACATCATCTACATGTCTACAAGAAGTACATGGTCTATTGGCCAGACTAGACCAGAGTGATGTCATGTGACCTCCCAGAATCCTCCTCACCTCTCCGGTCATGTCTGTGTTTTATTAATAGAGATGAGAGTGATGTCATGTGACCTCCCAGAATCCTCCTCACCTCTCCGGTCAGGTCTGTGTTTTATTAATAGAGATCAGAGTGATGTCATGTGACCTCCCAGAATCCTCCTCACCTCTCCGGTCAGGTCTGTGTTTTATTAATAGAGATCAGAGTGATGTCATGTGACCTCCCAGAATCCTCCTCACCTCTCCTGTCAGCAGTCCCATCATCTTCTTGGTGACTTCTAGAACCTTCTGTCGTGTAGAGTTCAGGGATGGAGGTGGGGGGATGGTGATGGGATTCTGGATTCTCGAGGATCTTGTGGTCATACGATGAGATCTCCTTGTCTTATTGTTGGTAGATTTCTTCATGACTCCTCTACAGTTCTGAGTGATACAAAGATAAATCTCACTCTCCCATCATCCCTCACCTCTATGGTCAGCTCTAGATGTGTCCTCCAGGGATTGGTCGCAATATTCCCGATTCAAAGGACGGACATCTCCATCCAATGACAGGACTACAATGGGGTCGGATTTGTAGCTTCTTCTAGAAGTCCTATAATAGAGTCTCTAATGTTCTCATAGTAAGGCTCACTGACCCACCAGTAGATGTTCCCCATGGATCTGGCAGTCG